CAAAATTCTCAAACACACGACATGTTTCGCCAACACATAGCTTCGTCAGGTGATATACTGGTACGACATTCAGGACGTCCATAGGACGTTCGAATATGGAACCGTGGACGTCCATTTGACGTCTGTGGGACGCACAAATGTCCCACTTGAGGACCAACTAGGGACGTCCTTGAGGGATGTCCCTGGGACAACTATCGAATACCTAAATCCTACAGTATTCCTCATCAAGCACTACAGAAGACATCCTTAGGACATCCATAATACAACCTATCAGCAACGCTGAGGGATATCAATTGGATGTCCATAGGATGCCCAGGGACGTACGTATTATTCTTAAATTTGAATTTTTCCGGGTCCCTCTAGGACCAGATCTTGCAAAACTGATTAGGACATTCAGTTGAGTTGATGATCCGTAGAAGGTCCCCAAAAAGTGTCCCAAGGATGTCCAATGGACTTACGTGAAGGACATTGACGAGGAGTACTCATAGCCTACGAGCAAGCATGCGTCGGCGAAGTGTAAGTTAACGTACTCGCAGGGACAACATAATGAAAGTACCGACTGGGACGTCCATAGGACGTTATTTCTAGGACATTGGAAGGGTACAGTTCATGTACCAATTGGGACATCTGACGGATATCCCTAAGGGACATTCGAAGGATGTCCCTAAGGGACATTTCGATTGTTATACGATCCTGGAAATATTAAGGCCGTCTGTGCGAGATATTCGAAGGAATGTACCATCAGGGGCATTCCATGGTTGTCTAGAAGGGACATTATATAAGATCTGAACTCATGCCAGAATATGTACTACTCGGGACATCCGATAGATGTCCCTAAAGGAACGTCCATCAGGGACATGCCAAGGACGTCCTTGCATGGATATTCTACAATATGTTCCACGTGGGGCGTCTAAGGGATGCTATTTCTAGGACATTCGAAATGATGCACCTGCTGGGACATACCGTGGATGTCCTTGGTCATACATTGCATGATATGTACGGGATGGGACGTCCAAGGACACTTATTTTTGGTCCAGGACATTCGGACTTGAATTGTACCAAATAGGGACGTCCCTAGGACGTTGTGTGCTATTAGGGATGTTTTTTGTTATTCATTTGACATGTGACTCATTACGGCCCCGCTTCTTTCTCGCATCTCGCCTGATATTCTTTGACTGATTGATAATACTTGGCATCTCGCTGCGTCAAATTTGAGAAATAGAGTAACAGAGCTTTAGAAAGTGTTATATCTTGAAAGTATCGTGTTATGTATATGAGCTGAAGTAGTCAAGCAGTATATATGTTTTCAATTTCACCATCATATATAAACGACTCCGTTTTATGAGTTTGCTCTACTCTGTTACTATTTGCAATAGTCAAATCCACCATGATTGCATTTTGCAAATCATGTTTTAGCTGATTCATTATCCAGCAATGATGGTTCGATGATAACATGTCATATATATCGATTTGTCGTTGTTTATTTGTTTCGAATGAAAATCATAGAGGAGGGTAAGACCACCTCTTCATTTCATCCAATTTACTTATGATTTTATTGATTTCGCTTTGTTACGTTCTACTCGAACGGATCCGACCACTTTGTTAAATTACTAGTGAATCCAACAATTTATTGTGCTATTTGTGCTCATTTGTTTTTTTAGTTATATCGTCATTTTATCATTTCACTTCGGATGATTACATACCTAACGTAACAAACAACATAGTTTGAAACAATTGATATAGATAAATAATATCAACGTTTCCTCTACACACACACTTATGCTGATTGAACAAATACTAATTCATTTAGTATCATTATCTTACCAATAAACACTTAAATAAATACATATATACGAAGAGTGATGAGAATATAGTTATGATAAACGAATTGACCTGACATTATTGTATGGGTATTAATGAATACAAAATATGCATGCATTAACATTGATGCAGAATTGTCGTTTATTCTCTCCACTGAATCCATCACCATACAATATTTTATCGAATCGAATGTGGGATGTACGACAGCTCAATCTATATCAAAATGTCAGGATACAATGAATAAAACTGAAATATGATTCGTATGTTAAATAAATTTCTATACTTTTATGCTAATCCATTTTGATAAATAGACAATCAGGAACAATCCCTTTTCCTTCACGATCAATATTGCTAGTGGGTGTATGGGCAAAGTAAAAGCGTGGTTTGGGGTTTTTAACGTTTGGGAATAACCATTTATCACTGTCACAATTGTAAGATTCATAGAAACTAGGAAGTTGTTGAATTACAGCTACATACAACATACATACTGTTTCAGTACCAGAATGCTTTCCAAAATTGGAATTGAAATTATAATTCGATAATGTCATCTGGTGACAGTTCTAATTGTTCTTGGCCTACCCAGGTATCAGTGTGACCTGAGAGAACGTTGGGTATTCGTCACTTCTGATCCACAACGTCTCTGACTACGGTATGACTTACAAATGGCGTTATATTTCACGACGTCTCAAGTGTTCAACAGGAGATCTCAATGATGTGTCTAGAATGTCGTACATCCCTCGACTGTCCGACCCACCTAATGAAAGAATCAATGATTTTCGTAACTTTTCATCGTCTATTAATCGGCATTTGAGTTTGTATACAGAGAAATGCACAAAATACGGCCAGGGCAGTAACTTCTAAATCATTTCAGATCAGATTTTGATACCGGGTTGTATAGGGTTATTTCGGACGATTACGAAGATATCCGTGTTCTAAGTTTGCATATGCTCAATAAGTGTGACAGAGAAAGAAGTATCGGTGAAACCAGAAGTGATTGAAAAAAAATCTTTTGTCTTTTGTCAATTAATGAGCTATTCGGTATATTCATTAAAATCATTTTATATATACTGACACTAGAATTCCCATGCAATAGATCAAAAGTGTGATGAAAATGTATGGGGCCGGTCGTCAAAATGCGCATGTGCAGAACGAGATTTATTCGGAACAGTGCTGGCTTAAGACAAATCTTTGTACCTACTGTTTTTGAAGCTCTCAATATGAGGGATACAATATAGGTCAGAATATTCAAATCAGCTGTGCTTGAATATCTTACAGGTTAGGTACTGATTTAGGAAAACTTGAACAATGTTCAAACTCACATGAACAATGATTCAAAAATTGGTGTGTTCCAACCAGCAGGATCATTGAATTTTTTTCTGTCAAAGTGCAAATTCTATGATGATATTTTAATTTTGATATGTGACTAACCTTCCATGATGAATATAATCAGTCCTTCTCAGGGACAGTTGATTTTACATACATCCTATTTCCCTCAGAATATACCTATATCTTCTTGACGGAGCTGTTTACGCAAATAGCATTTTTAAGAGCAACAGAGTACTTCTGTGGTGGGATCTTTTTCCAGAGCGTTCATCCAAGAGTTTTGTCTTGTTTTAACAGATCCAAAATTTGTAAAGCACTTTTCTACCAAAAACTCAATAAGCATAAGGCTATAGTACCTTACGGAAAAAGATTACCTCCAGCGCTCTTCCTCTTGTTCTTGCACCACAACAATTAACAAGAACTCATTGTTTATGCTCATTGAGATTGAACCTACATAGAGAATACTGCTATACCAGCTGCCATTACAAGCACTTCTTAAACATATCTGGAAACGTTTCACTCCAAGGAACCTAAAGCGTGTGCACATCATGAAACAAGTTGCAATATTGCTATACCCACCAATTTTCTAAAACCGATCTCGAATGATTCAGAAGATACAGCACTGGCCGTTTTTCGTGCAGTTCTCTATATTCGTTTGTCTACAGTCTACAACTTTTAGTCCGCCCACGCATGCTACGTGAATTCAGATACAATTATGAGGAGCTAATGATATTACTCATATTAATGATAGCGCCATGATTGACGAGAAGTACTTGGATGGGCCGTGCATCGACCAAGTCACAAGACAATTTAACGTCATAATATAGGGTCTCTTACACGTCATTTCAGGGTGTCTACTCGATAATTTTGTGACCAAAAATGCAATTCTGATATCACTCTGCGAACTGGGTTAGGCACTGGAAGAATTATGATTCCTATACAATCTGTTATCAAACTTCATACCGTTGGGTTGGAGTGGGGGTCACTTCTTGAATATAGTGTATAACATTCTACTCAATATTCGACTCCAGAACACTCGAAATCTACATACTCATCTCATACTAAGTCTTGTTAATGTAATATGCACCAATAAAGATATATTATACATATAAATATAGAAGGAAGTAGTGGGGAATAAATATAGAGTATAGGTAGATACCTCAAAAATTATCAAGCATAGGGCCCCACAAATCGTAGAACCACCAATGTTCAAATGGTTAGAAATATTGTGGATCTCAATATTCATTTCAAAAATCGATATTCATTTATTGATCTCAGGAAAAAAATTGTTTGTGGTAGTGAACTGGTTGGATCAGTATCACGATGTCAGTATATAGTTCATTCAAATGTTGGAATAGAATTCAACTCTGAAATATGCCCATGCATGCATTATAACGTGAGCAAAATGGAATATAACACATATGCATATTACCTCCAATGTATAATTACTTCGTAATCGGACCTTTAGAAGATCATCTAAATAAAAAATGATTTTGTTCAGAAATGATTGTACCCATACTAGATTATCACATAATTTTTTGATGACGATACTTTAAGTTTCATTCTGTTGCGATCGTACACTTTTAAAAGGTAAATGATATACAATTTTTCTGGATTACGTCTTCCCAAACTTCATAATATGTGTAAGAAGTATATATTACCTTCTCAATAATTCAATACGTTCATAACGCTCAAGACTGTCCCAGAATTTACATGATGAATATTCTATGAGAAAATAGCCCGTTCCTGATCAAATTCATCAATCATTTATGGAACTTTAAACTTTGTTCGCTAGCAGGCAATCCATTCGATACCAGTACTCAGAAGGATATTATGATTATGGAGTAGAGACTTACCGGTATGGATGTAGGTGTGTTTCTTCATGTCAGATTTCTGGTGGAATCTTTTTCCGCAGTACTGACAGGGGTAAGGTCGCGTGTCTGAGTGGATGAGAAGGTGAGTTGAGAGGGTGGAGGAACGTTTGAAGGATTTTCCACATTGTTGACACTGAAACAAAGAATGAAATAGCCTTTGATCATTTTATAATATTGGACTCATTCATTTTCAGTTGAATAAATAAACAATGAGCTGTGTGATTTGATATTGAACCGAGGGTAATTAAACTTGTATTACAGACAGATGGTTATTACGACATAAACATTTTGAAAAATTACTATGTAGTACGAAATGTTGTATGAAGACTGTGGATGGATGATACTACTAGTGCAAATTAGGTAACATTAGTTTCCACAAGGTTCCTGAAAATATACCTACCTAGTATTAGGAATTATCAATCAGTGGATGTCTTTTTGTCAGCAGCCAGAAAATTGAACAGTGAAATTTCAATCTAGAAATTGATCCAATTATATCGATCCTGATGATTTTCCTATTTTTCTTATGAATCTGACTGTACAACACACTGCTATTGTGGATCTATGGAGCAGTTTCCGAGCAACACATTTATAATATAGAAAAACAAGAATATTGTACATTGTGCCTTTAAGATACTGGCACCAATTAGTGCACACTGCATGAACTTTGCCAATGAAGGATTGCTTTTTCTTTCATACGTTTCAAAACAAATGTTCATACATATGACATGAATTTTCTTCTGAAACTGTAGCCTGATGATGTCGTAGTTGAAATTACGCCAGTCGGGCAACCAGCCACTCCTGTATGAGAATTTCAGTTTTGGAGTGATTCTTTCCTCTGTTCTACTCAGATGGCGTTACTTTCATTTTGTCGATGAAAGACGCCTCGGGGTGAATATAATGCCGACTTGATTTTTGTTTGGCTAGGCTTCGCTGAGTCGGCGGTCTTAGGACTGCTGACTGTAGACTACACTGCACTGATGAGAGTCAAAAAGCTCGAAACCGGTCTGTGGTCGTCTAGCGGCCTGGCTAAATCGAAATCAATAGGCATTCAGGAAAGAATCACTTGTACCAGTATTCGTTTATACGAGTCGATGTATAGATTTCGGGAGGATGTAATTCAATGTCCTGCGTGGCATTAGCCAGGGAAGTAGTTGCGTTTCTTTCGAAATCTACCATTGTTGTTCATTTTATGAACATTGTGTGGAAATTACTGAGCTTTTTGCATTTATTTATATAAATAATGTACCAATAACCCTGATGGGTTGGCTATATGAATTGCCCTCATACGCCATCAAGATTTCCATGAATTCAAAGGAGCGGTATTGCCGTAACCCTGGTCCGTATAATACAGGGTTGAGACTTTTACTGGAAGAAATTCGATAGCAGAGAGGTGAAAATTTTTTCTAAACATTTCCGACATATCTACGTCAACGTTCAACTTCAGGGGTAGCTGAAATCACCCTCCACATTTTTTTTATATTCTGCATATTGTAAATGAATGAAAAATAATGTGATCTCTTGTGATATTTCATGACAAAAGTGCGTATGAATCTGTCCTTATTTGCTTCGTTTTTTTATTAGTTAGGTAAGTACTCAAAAGTCTTTCTGTTAATTCCAAGACAACTTGTTGTTTCTGTTAACAATAACATAGAGCTCATTTAGGTGTAATCAGAATCAGAATATAAATCGTTGTGGCGTTATTCATCCATTTGAAGCAGTTACCAACCCTAGCTGGCAATACATTGAAATAGGTGCTATAGTTTCCATTGGCTTCAGTGATTTATTTAATATATTTATGCCTCTTCTAGTCTGTTATAATGAATTACCGTCGTGATGGAATACGGTTCTGATAAGTTAGTGTTTTGATCGAGTACGGTTCTTATACAATACCATTCTGATTAATCACATTCATAAAGTTCTTGTCAATTACGTTTTTGTGGGAACCAGAACTGTATATTTCCATGACCCAACTATATATTTTCATAAAATCGCTTTGTTTTCTTGATAAGTAACCAAAATGCATAACGTTCTACCCTCGTAATTTACCGATCTATTTCTTATTCTTCACAAATATATGGGTCACTTCTGCGACGGCTATCTGCGTCCCAAGGACGAGTTTTTCTTGTCAGAGAGGAGAAAACGAGATTTTGCGGAAAAAGAAGCGAGAATGACGGGGAAGGCGGCATTAGATTTTTACCGCTGCTTTCGATCGCATATACGCATACCAAAACCGGAAAGACTTTACCATACCGTTAACAACGCTGTTTTTTTGTTGAAAAACCCTATTTGTGTTTGTGAGTGTGAATGAACCAATCTGGATCAAGACGGTTATCCAGACTCCAGCAACAGCATTCGAGAATAATGAAGATGATTTATGAAGCTCCATGTAAGTCGCCATAATATCTTGTAATACTTTATTGCATATTCTAATTGGTTACCTATCGATGACAAGAGTTTTATGAGAATTCAGTACATTCTGAAGCAATCCACCTATATGAGCTTTTGAAAAAAACCACCATTCTTATTAAATATATTCCTTTATATTATTATATTTGGATACTTTATATTGTGATCTTTCAGATGTCGCCCCTGTTAGTCAGAATGACACCCAGATAATAATTGACTTCGCACCACGAAGCATATTGTAGAGTACTCCCCCTTCATCTACTATTACTTTAGATGCACATGAGTTTTAATTGATGTAAAACATTTTCTCATAGAATAATAATTGGGATCCGAAAACTTTCCAATATTTATTTCAGTCCTGATGATGGTATCGTTCAATATCTCTGTGTATAAATAAGTATATCTGAACTTCGAATTTGGAAATCAAAACTCAAAGCCACTAAATCTTCAACCTGAGGAATTTTGACTGGATGTGATGGTAGCATATACAGAATCCATTTTACTTCAGGACAAATGATGACTATGAATATGACCCAACACTGGTTATTACACAAATCGAACCTGCTTATCTAGACATTTCAATAATTCATAAGAGAGATAATCTCTTGAATAATATCATATCTAAACCTCGACTGTATTTTTCACTAATCGACTATTAACTCACATGAACGCAAACAAAGACATATTTTTCATCTGTATATTTATTGAAATGACCGACTAATAATTATGGTAGGAATAATAGATTTCTAGTATGGGCAGAAGACAACCGTAATCAATACCAAGTAGTTCGAGTCAAAGTTTATGAAATATTGAGACTGTTAAATGCGAAGAAGTAGGTATATATGCTTAGATTTAATGAGCACCATTTCCTGATTAAATTCAACTGCATTATTTATTGAGACATTGGTTCGAGAAACGGCAGGATCATTACTGGCTTCGGCCTCCGACTATGATTTAGAATGATGTGGATTTGATATTGTTGAGGTTGATCTAACTGGAAAACTGGATGTCCATTAATTTATTATTCAATAGGGTTGAAAGGCAAATGAGGTTGGTTGATCTGTTTATAAATCATTTACCTCAAGAATATTTAAGTTCTGTTTGGAAACTTTCTCAGCAGCTCGAATGCATTTTGTATCAAAGTACAAACCTTACTAAAATAGGTATCTACCATGAATTTAGATCCATATACTGATAATTTTTTTGCGATACATAATCATCATGGACTATATATGTACAGTGAGGACCAAAAGTCCGTCGCCCCCCCCTGTAACTTCTTTATTCTACATATTACAAAAAAATGTTAAATACATAAGTTGTAGGGTTTCATTCGATCTCTTTAATGGTTTGAGTTTCATTCATACAGAGTGTCTCTAAAAAGCACGGTGACTTAGAAGTTAATTTTTTGGAATGGGACACCCTGTATTTCATTGCATTATTACATTCTCGGTTGAATTCTGAACAAGTTTGATGAACGGTTTTCTATCAAAAAAGTTAATAGTTTTGGACTTTTGAACACTTGTAGATAATTATTTCGACTACTTTTGCACCAGTTCACGAATAAATTAATGAGGTAGGCTATGCACGCTAGGCGCGTTTATTTTATCCATGACAACGAAAATAAACTCTTATCTGTTTTTGCCAAATGTCATTGCAATTTTGTAGGTTTTCAAAACTTTGTTTCAAACGGTTTTCAATTTCTCTTGTTGATTAATATGGCTCGTTCAGTAGCAGACAAAGTTGAAGCCTTTATCATATTTGGTGAAGCTAACCGAAATTACCACGCTGCTATTCGCATTTTCAATGAACGGTTTCCAGAACGTCCGATGTGTCGAAAATATCTGCAGGAATTGGTGGCAAAATTTAACCAAACTGGCACCGTGAAAGATGCTCCGAGATCTGGGAGGCCGAAAATAATTACGGAAGATGTTGAAATTCAAGTACTAGCCGAAATGGTAAATAACCCACAACAATCAACTAAGCAAGTAGCTGAGACATGTGATGTTTCTAAAACATCAGTAAGGAGGATTTTTAAACAAAATAAATTCCATCCTTACAAAATAAAAATTTTGCACCAATTGGTTGAAGATGATCCAGACCGGCGACTTGAATTTTACGAGACCATGGCAGAAATAATTGTTGCAAATCGACTTTATTTGCAACACATGAATACCCAGAATTGTAGATATTGGAGTGGTGAGAATCCCTATGAATTCCGCGAGGGGCATACTCAATTTCCCCAGAAAATTAATGTTTGGGTTGGTATTTTAGGTAACCACATTGTAGGTCCGATATTCTTGGAAGAAAATTTAAATGGTCCCAGATACCTCAAAATGCTGCAAGACACAATAAGTCCCAGTATCGATGAGATCGTTGCGCAAAACCCACATGAATTTTACTTGGATGTAACATTTCAGCAAGATGGAGCGCCACCACACTATTTTCTGGAGGTGAGAAATTAATTAGATGGAAGGTATTCAGGTAGGTGGATTGGACGTCGAGGTACAACAGAGTGGCCAGCTCGCTCACCGGACCTCTCACCGCTTGATTTCTTTCTCTGGGGCTATGTGAATTCCGTACTTTTTAAGACAGTTTGTGAGTCGTTAGATGGACTGCGCCGTCGAATTATTGAAGTGTGTTCAGAAATAACACCTCAAACCTTGATTAATGTTAGGGAAGAGTTTACAACCCGACTATTTATGTGTCAAGAAATGCATGGTGGACATG